TTGAAGACAATCATATAAAAGGCCCTTAAATCTCTGCTGTGTGCAGTGTGTATGCACTCTACCTCTTTAGATATGCAGTTGTGTCCTTGCTGTACTGATGACTAGGGTCTCAATGTATCCTCATTCTCTCCCCTCCTGCATAACTCAAGTTAAAGGGCTTTCCCTTGTGTGATATAAAGTAATCACATGTTAAAGATCTACTGCTTTTAACATCATTAGCCTAGATGGTCTCATCTGTGGAAATCTCTAAGTTCCAAAAGAGCAGCTACAGTGGATTGAGGCATCATCCATTCTAGTCTTAAAGCCTCCAGGGATGAGCAGCTCACTAGGTCCCCACATCAGCCATTTCACCTTCAAGCAATTCTAATTGTTAGGAAATTCTCTCTTATATTGAGCTGAAATCTGCCCCCCTCTAACTTGGGTCTACTTGGCCCCAGTTCTATCCTTTGGAGCTACACAAGCTAAGTTTCATTTTTCTCCTTCTTCTTGATAAATTTCTTTTAGAAACATGGAGAGAGAGAAATTTCCCCCAAATCTTCTCTTGTTCAGTCTAAGTGTTCCACACTCTCTCTTAATTGATCCTTTTGTGGCATGGGCTGCAGTTTTCTCACAATCCTGGTAGCTTTCCTTTGAATATGCTTGTTTCCCTTTTCCCCTCCTCTCCTTTTTTTACCTCTCTTCCTTCCTCTCCCCCTGCCTCATCCCCTTCCCTTCCTTCATTCTTTTTTTCCATTTTTTTCCCTTTGATTCCATCCTTTCTTTGCTCCTCTAGGAGTTTACCCTTTCCATCATCCAGTCTCTGTCTCTATCTCCATCTCTAAGAACTTTATCCTTGTGTTTCATCTTCATGTTCTTATCTACTGACTTTTTCCTTGATGATTTTACAAACATATGCAGGTGTCCATCTCTCCACCCTTAAAATCCTCCCTTGCCCTTGATATCTCCTTAAGCTATTAGCCTACAAGCATTTCTCATTTTCACAGAAAAACCCTCATTAAAAGTCCATTATACTTCTTGCCTCAATTTTCTCACCTCTTGATCATGTTTTAATATCTTTCAGTTTGACTTCTGACCCCACTATGCACTAAATGAATTTTTCCGAAGGTGTGAATGCTCCAGTGACCTTTCTCAGTCCTTATCTTTTTTGAATGCTTTTCAGTTTTTGACAATATTCAGAATGATTTCACCCTGGATACTCTTTCTTTCCTTGTCTTGATTTTTTGTCCTACCTATCTGACTGCTTATTCTCAGTCTCTTTGACTTATTTTTTACTCGTCCCGTATCTTAACTGTTGATAGACCACAAGTTTCTGTCCTCAATCCTCTTCTAGTCTCCCTCTATTTTTTGATGATATTATCCAGTCCCATACCTTCAAATCTCACCCTTATGCAAATTACTGATAAATCTATATATCTAATCTTTCTCCTTAGTTTCAGTATAGTGGTTACAACTGCCTGAAGTACATATCCAGATGGAAAATGTACCAGCACCTTACACACAACATACACAAAATTGACCTCATCAATTATGCTCTAAACTTATCCTTCTTCTTAAATTTCCTATTTTTCTTGATATTCCCGTTTTATCTGTCCCTTATTACCCACTCCCCATTCTAGTCAATTACTAATGTGATCAACCCTGTTGATATTGTTGAAATTACCTTTCCCTTTTCACTCTCAGTGATACCACCCAAGCTCAGATCTTTATAGTAGGATAGAGATACAAAGAATGAAATAATCGTTCTCCTAAATACTAGGAGCTTATCTATCTGGGGAGATAATGTATGTATGTATGTATTTATGTACATATGTATATAGATAGATATAGATATGAATGTATTTATATGTACATAGAGAATAAATACAACATAGTTCATCATTCATCGTTTTTCAGTTGTGTCTGACTCTTTGTGACTCCATTTGGGATTTTCTTGGCAAAGATACTGTAGAAATTTTCCATTTCCTTCTCCAGCTTATTTTACAGATGAGGAAACTGAGACAAACAGGGTCACCCAACTAGTAAGTGTCTGAGGCCAGATTTGAACTCAGAAAGAGGAGTCTTCATGACTCTAGGCCTGGCACTCTATCCACTTAGCAACTTAGCTGCCCATGTAGTTACTTATAGTGTATATAAAATAAAATCATATAAATACAAGGCAATATTCTTAGATAACTGGTTTTTATTACACTTACTTCTGTCTCTCTCTGTCTCTCTTTATACATATACACATATACACATGTACACACACACACAAACATACATATATTATATATATATATATATATATATATATTATATATATATATATATATATATATATAGTGGTAAAAGGTATGACTACATTACTCCACCACTCAAAAACCTTCAATAACCCTATTGTATAAATACACCACCACACCATGCAACATAACACAACACAACACAACACAACACCATGTAATACAATGCAATACAAAAAATGGGAACTATAAACTCTTTATTTAGGCATTTAAAGTACTATTCAGTATGGCTTCTCTCTTCCCAGTTTTGTTTCATTTTACTGCTCTTCAGACCTTCAAATTTCAGATAGACAAGAAGAGCAAGTTTTCCCTGATTTCATCCTGAACTCTCTCAGTCCTCCACACCTTTTCAGGTTGGTCCCTAGAATTTCTTAAACATACTCACTCTTAATCTCTGGCTAGTAAAATGATTTCCCTTGATGCAAGGCTCAGCCTCCACTGTAAATCCCTCCCATGTGAAAGTGGTCTCTCCTGCCACAACTTTTTCCTACACTATTTAGTCTGCCTGTCTCCTTTACATCATCACTTCCTCCTCTGCATCACACTTATGGGTGTGTACATTATTTTTTCTTCATTATATTGCATCACAAATAAAATTTCTGGGTCTTAAAAATAAATTTATTAATTAGGCTATATCAATAATCAATAAACTGATGGTCAGTGGTTTCTCTTGGTAATTAAAGGCAAAGGGTCTTGCATCATCTTAAGTGCCCACCTGTCTTCCTGATAGCACATCATTGCAACCCCACCTCCCCCAAAGAAAAAGGCAATTTTAATTGGTGGACTAAGAGTTCTCAGCCCCTCATTACTTTATTACCAAGGTGAGGAGGTCAGCTGAGGAAGGAGGCCTGGTAATGAGTTTTAGCAGCCTCCAGGAATCTAGGCAAACAAAACCTTTTCAGATCACAGTTTCTCTGGCTATATTTCTTCTTTATGAGCCAGACTGCCCCAAACTCTAATGAAGGGACCTAGGACACATGAATCTCTCTGTGTAGCTCTTAACCAGCTCAGTTTGGCTGTTTATAGAGTAAACAAAAGCCAGAATCCCATTTGAGTGTTGTCTAGCCCAAACTAATTAAGAACCAGATGTTTTGGGGGGCTAGGAGTGATCACATTGTTGAATTATGTTCTTCAGAAACTGATTGGCCTTTTCATGGGTCATGCTCTTCAGAAACTGGCCTTTTCAGAAATGGGGTCTTAACAAAAATAGGAAAAAGGATGGCTCACAAGTTAATTATTGGTTTTTAATATAATAGTATAATATTCATTTCCCTCAATTGGAAGCTCCTTGAGGGCAGGAAAATGGATGTTTTAGTCTTTGTTCTGAATCTCTAGTTCTGAGTAATGTGACTTACACATTGTAAGCGCAAAATATATATTTAATGAATTTAGTTGAATTTTTTCAGCCTGATGATGGGGAGCTACCAGATCACGAATCTAGAAGGGATTTCAGGGGCATCTAGTCCAACCATCTCATTTTATGGATGAATAAACTGAGGCTCAGAGGTGTTAACTGAATTCTTCAAAGTCACATAGGTAATAAGCATCATTGGTGAGATTTGAACACACATCTTTTGAGTCCTGAGGCAGTGTCCTGTACCACTCTGTCTCTTCACTGAACCATTCAAATGAAACATACTAGGTGACTTCACGTATACATTTAATTAACTAGATGTATCTAATTTGCATAATCCAAATTGAATTTAGTAGAACCCATGGGAAGTACTGATGGCTATTTTAATTTGATAGTATGTACATTTTATAGATTGGACAGAAAAATGTAAAACGAAGAAGACAATTCATCCTGGGAGAGCCAATGTGTCACAGTGGAAAGAACATTCACCAGACTGGGAACTGGTGATAATTATGATAGTTTCATTTTATATAGTATTTTAAAGTTTTTTAACACTTTCCTCACAATAATCATATTAAATTAATGGTTAAAATAATATGTGTACTGTATACAGACCATGGTACAGTTGATTATATGATGGATTTGGAGTCTGAGGACCCGGATTCAGATTCTGTGTGACTTGGACAGAACACTATATCCCTGTCGACTTTTCTTCCTCATCTCAAATGAAAGGGTTATACTAGACTGCCTCCGAGGCCCTATCCAGCTCTAAATCATTGATCATGTCATCCTACTTGTTGTCGTTTTCTCATTTGACATAGGGAGTATCAATAGTGACTTTCCCATTTGTACCTCCACTAGAAAATATCTGAGCTAGTACTGAAACGCACACATTCTGACACTGAAGCCGGTGCCTTTACACTGTTAACATTCAAGAGTTCTGACTTCTATTTCTGACTCTGATACTTCCTATATGACTTTCCATAGGTCAATAATCCTCTTTGGGCCTCATTTTCTTCTTTTATAAAATGAGGTAGTTGCAAGCGATGGTCTCTAAGGTCCTTTTTTAGCTCTAAAATTCTGTGCTGTGCTCATTTTCTGTTTTAATATTATCCATTCTACATTCCATTTCAACTCGAACATCCTGTAATTTGCCATTTTCTGTTCTATAACTCATTTCAGTTTTAATCCTCTGTGTTCTAATGTTCCATGGTTAAAGTTTCTTCCAATTTGACCATTCTGTAATCCTGCGAACCAAGGCCAAGAATCAAGGCAATACACAATCTGTTCTCATCCAACTAAGCTTCATGGTATTTTAAGTCATGTCTAAGTCTCTTGATGCTAAAATGGTTGCCCTTGCCTCCTAGGGCAAGGGATTTGGCGGGGATGCCAACCATCAGCAGCCGCACCCTGGGCCTCCACTTCCAGCCTCGAAGGGGCCTGCACCACCATATCCCTGTAATGTTTGACTATTTCCACCTGTCCGTGATCTCCGTGACAATCCATGCCTCACTAGTGGCCCTGCAACAACCATTGATCAGGTAAATATAGCTCAGCAACATGCTGGTGTGATATTTTATCCTGTTCCATCCACATTTCATGGGGATGAGGGAAGAAGGTTAGCCAGGTATGCAGCACTGAAATTCTGGTCCATGAAATGGGAGAAAGAAGGGTCCAAGGCAAAGGAATCATAAGTCTATATCATTCCCTAAGACTCACAGCTACTACATTAACTGCTTTGTTAGCATTTGCACCAAACACATTCTAAACCTAGACGAGGATAACTCATGAAGTGATAAATTTCCCATCACTGAAGATCTTTAAACTAGATAGTCACTCATTGAAAATGTTCTGTAATACTGGCTACCATGGTCATCATTGCCTAGAAGGTCAGGTGGGTGTGATTTCACACCTCCCACAGGGTTCTCCTCTGCCCTCGGTGGGATGGTGGGGTCTGGGCTCTCTGCCAAGGCATCATTTCCCATTGATGTCATTCCCTCACTCATAGAGGGTAGTCCCCAACACTTTAGTTCCATTTAGCCACTAATAGCCAGGTTCACTTTCACAAAGAAATATTTACTTCAAGAGGTAATCACAAATATTTACATTTACTTTCCCAACATATGAGAAGCATGATCCTCCTCCTATCTTATACCACCTCATTCTCTAGGAAAGGCAGGGGGTTAGGTTTGTAGCTTAGATCAGTTCCTCCAGAGCACAGTCTAAGTTCCAAGTTCCACCCCATCAGGTTCGTGTCCCAAGAACTCTGGCTTCTCAGGGATTCCATGCAAGGCTGACTAGTCATACCAACCACCCTGCAATCCTGGCTCCAAAGTTTTTATGACTCAACCTTCTGGGTCTCATGGGAATCACCTCTGGCACATGAAACTATGGAAAGCAACGCACAGAACAGAAACTGTCAATAGGCAATCACAACTTCATGACACTTAGGTGAAAACTAGGTTTATTACCAGAGAAAGGAACATGCATGTGGAAGCCATGGAGTTTACAATCCACCCAGAAGTTTGTGTATTTATGACAGTGCCGCAAAGAGAGGTGGAGGAAATACAAATCAGCTCAAGGCATGTGGCACAGAAAAGGAAAAGGTGCAGTGAAGGTGGGAAAAGGAGGAAACCCTTCCTGAAGGGGAGGATCAAGATGATGGCAAAAGCCTCATTCTTTTTCCTTGGGAACTGCTAGACCAGGGGTGGGGGAACCTGCAGCCTGGAGGCTGCATGTGGCCTTCTAGGTCCTTGGGTGCTGCTTTTGACTAAGCTCAAATTTTACAGAGCAAATCCTTTTATTAAGGGGATTTGTTCTGTGAAGTTTGGATTCAGCCAAAGGGCCGCACTTGAGGATCTAGAGGCCACATGTGGCCTTGAGGCCGCAGATTCCCCACCCCTGTGCTAGACCATGAAGATGCGATAGTCTGCTTATCTACAAGGGTCCCAGCTGCACAAGCAGTTTCTCAGTCTAATAAGAGTGGTGCCTATTGTGACTCCCAAGGACACACAGAGAATCCAGGTTGGGATGCAGATAACACATTGTGTCAGCTGAGGGGGAAGAGGCGGGGTTCATCCTTGACACATTCAGGGCCTCCTGCATGCTCTAGGTCCGGTGTTCCTAGAAAATGTGGCAACTCAAAAAGACAAGTTCAAGAGACCCCTTAACATTCCTTAACAAAACAGACATGCCCAGACAGACCCGTTTTTCAGAACCAGGGTTAAAGAGGGAGAAGAGAGGAAGGAAGTCCTTTTCTCCTAATACCTTCAGGTCATGCCATCTGTGCTTTGGGATTTTCACCTTCTGGATACAGCAGAAAGAGTGGTGGACAAGAGCAACTGAAAGAGAGAAGGGGAAGCAGCTCCCCAGTTTTAAAAACCTAGGTAGCCCATCAGAGGAGGCTACTGCGACCCGTATGGTAGAGAGTGCAGAGGCCTCTGTGTTGGATGATCTGGGCACGTCCGGACAGCCCAGGTTAGAATTATACAGGGTATTATTGCTTCCAGTACTTGCTCAAGTATCATTATAATATTAATACCAAACAACATTTATATAGCATTTTAAGGTATGCAAGGCACTTTTGCATGCATTATCTTGTTTGAGCATTATAACCACCCTGGGAAGTATGTGATTCACTCATTTTAAAGATAAGAAAATTGAGTGTGGGAGTTTATAAAATGCCAAGGGGTCACATAGCTAGCACATGTCTGAGGAAGGATTTGAACTTGTGTCTTCCCGCTGAAAGGGCAGTACTCTACCCATGTTACCACCTAGCTTCCTCTAGGGTCTCTTCCTCAGATTCTTTGGTTCTAGTGTGTCAGCACCAGTTGATCAGCAGGGAAACTTAAGCCAGATTCACCTTCTCAAGGTCGTGTGTTAGGTAATATTTCTTTAGCTGAAGAGGACTTCACTTTGTGACTCTTTTGTTGGAGGGTAAGCTCCTTGAGGGTGGAGATTCTTCATCCTTTGGATTTCTATCTACAGTACCCAGCACAGGTTTGACCATAGATCTTAATAAATGCTCATTGGTTGATAAATTCATTGATTTCAATCACTTCGTCCACATTTAAAATGATCAGAAATGAGAAAAGTCCTACTCATATTGGATGACCACTAGTTGGGGAGTGTGAAGATTTGTGTTTCTGATAGGAAATGGACATCAAGATCTCAGAGGACTCTCCAGAGCTCTGAGGGTCTATGTTTCTATGTTACTGCTTACTTTTTTTTTTTTTTTTGATGAGGCAGTTGGGGTTAAGTGACTTGCCCAGAGTCACACAGCTAATGACTGTTATGTGTCTGAGGCTGGATTTGAACTCAGGTCCTCCTGACTCCAGGGCCAGTGCTCTATCTACTGTGCCACCTAGCTGCCTCCTACTGTTGACTTTCTTCCCTGAAACCCTCAACCTGTGTCAGCAACTTGAAACCAGGGTGATAATTGGTATTAAATATGGTGTTTTTCATGTTTTCTCAATGGTCATAAGATAGCATCAACAATTCAATTAAAATGAAACAGCTAGGTGGTATAGTAGATGAAGTACTGGATCCAACTTCAAATCCTTCCTCAACCACTTACTAGTTGTGTTGTCCTGAACAAGTCACTCAGCCTCTATGATCCTCAGTTTCCTCATCTGTAAAACGAGGATAATAATAGCATCTATCTTACAGGGTTGTGATGATCGAATGAGTTAATATATATATAAAGCTTTTGCAAACTTTAAAGTCCATTATAAATGTTAGCAGTTGTTATTAAAATGATGACATTATATGGATATTTATCTTTCTGTGACTCACTTTCCTCATCTGTAGAAGGAGGAAGAATGTTCAATTACTTGGTCTCTAAGGTCCCAATCGAAAACCCAGGCCTGGAGTCAGGAAGGCCTGAGTTTTCACATACTGCCTCAGATATTTAATAGCTGTGTGACCCTGGGCAAGTCATTTCATTGTTTGCCTCAGTTTCCTCATCTGTAAAATGAGCCAGAGAAGGAAATGGCAAATCACTCCAGTATCTTTGAAAATCCTAAGAGGGGTCATGAAGTGTCAGACATGACTGAAATGACTGAGCAATAACAAAGATCCTGTTCAGATCACACGTTACAGAAAATGGCAGGTTTACATTTTGCTTTGTCTGTTGTTCTTTTTATCATACTCGTTGACATATATACAAAAATCAGACGATACAGTGAAGCTAGGTGATAGGAAATCGTGCAAGATTGGTTCTGGTCCTAAGTGATACCTTCAACTGGTATCACCATTGGCAGCCTAGACTTGGTGAGTCTTTCCCTCATCTGTCAAATGAGAATAACAATGTTTATACAGTCTCCAGCCCCTAGTTTCTTCTGATTTCTTTCAGGATTCAATTGAATTCCTACGTTTTACAGGTCTTTCCAAGTCTCTCCCCTATGCCCTCTAGCTGCAAATGCCTTCCCATCTCAAACTGACTTCCCTCTGTTCTGTAGATATCTTATATGGATGTATGTACTTACATGTTGTCTTCCTCCATTAGAATGAGAACTGCTTGAAGGCCACCCCTCTCTTTTTTGTATGTCCAGCCCTTAGGATTGTGCCTGGCAGATATTAAGTCCTTAATAATGCTCGTAACCGACTGTGTATAATTCCAAAGCATTCCATTCTATGTTTAGAAGCCTCTTCCAGGATATTATTTGCTCTAAAACCTTTTCCCAATGCTTCCATCGTATATAATAGAGTAGTTAGGATACCTGTTTTATTTTTTTCCCAAAGCATTACTATCTCTTTGGCCACTTTCCAGAGGGGGGAAAATGTCTCTGTGCCATTTGCCAAATTTATCCTTTTCCATTTCCCAGCAGCATATTCCAGGGCTCTAAAACACACTAAAGCTAGGTAAACAAAACTAGCATTCAAATACAAAATTGAGAGAACACTGATAATATTCTAATGAGGATTTTGAAATTTGGAAACTGTTGGTTGGAGGTTTAACCTTCCATCATCACAAGGGGCTTTTAAGTTTACCTCCTTCAACCAGTGGCTTTGCCATCATAGCTCTTTCTTTCCCTCCCTCCTTTCCTCCCCCCTCTCCTCTCCTCCCCTTTCCTCTTCTTTATCCTTCTCCCTTACTCTCTCCTCTCTCCCCTTTCTCTCTCCTCCCCTCCCCTTCCTTTTTCTCCCCTTTCATCTCATCTCTCTCCTCCTTCTTCTCCTGCTCCTTCTCTCTCTCTCCCTCTCCTGCTCTCCCTCTCCCCCCCCCATTTCTCTTCTTCCTTCCTCTTGTGAATGAAGTCAGAATTTTTTCCTATTGTCTGGATTCCGTAGAGAAGATTTCTGTCAGTAAGCATGGCCTTTCTGAGTAATGCACATATTTTTGCTATAGAAAGGGCTTGAAGACTATCTATAGGAAACATACTATCCTCACACATAGTTGAGAATGGCATCAATTAAACATGATTAATGTGAGGCAGTTGCGAAATTTAGCCAAACGGATCAAATGAAGCAATTTATGTAAAACACTTTGTAAAACTTAAAATTTTAAATAAATATTAGCTATCATCATCATTCTATCAATGAGGAAATGTGAACAAATATTCTCTATAAAATAGTGAAAAAAGCTCTGCTCTTCGAGTGTGCATCACAGCTGCAATGCAGTAGGCAAATCCTTTCATCCACTAAACATCAGTCTTCTCATAAGCAAAATGGGCATAATAATACCTGTCCTATTTATCTCACAGTGTTCTGAGAAAAATGCTTTGTAAACCTTAGAGAGCTGTATGAATGGATATTTTAATATCATTACTTATCAAATCCATAGTAGCCCATTATTCTTAAATCAGAGAATGAAAGCTGGGAGGTATGTTGGAACAGAACATAGATGTTCGAGTTGGAAAGGACCTGAGAACATAGAATGTTAGATCTATGAGGGACCTTAGAACATAAACTCTTAGAATATATACTTATGCAGCTGAAAGAGAATTAATGTTATAGAATATGAGAACACAATGTTTATGTGGGAAACAACTCTAGAGACCATCTTAATCAAATTATTTATTTAGATGAAGAAAATGAGGCCCAGGGAGTTTGAAAGACTTTCATATGATTTTGTTGTTGTCATTCAGTCATTTCAGTCTTATCTGACTCTGTGACCACATTTGGTATTTTCTTGGCAAAGATAGTGGAGTGTTTTGCCATTTCTTTCTCCAGCTCATTTTACAGATGAGAAACTGAGGCAAACAGGGTGAAGTGACTTGCCCAGGATCACACAGCTAGTCTGAGGCTATATTTTAACTCAGGAAGATGAATCTTCCTGACTCCAAGCCTGGTACTCTATCCACTGCACCACTTACCTGCTCTTCATATGATTATACAGCTAGTTGGTGAACTATGGCAGAGCCTAAGCTAGAACCCACAACTTCTGATCTCCCTACCCCACCCAAAATTTCAGGACTCTTTCCACTGCATTATTGTATTAAAATATTGATTTTTTTTTATTCTTAGTACATTTTATGAGTCTTCCAAGCAAGGTGGAATCTAGAATAAAATCAATATTTTTAAAAATCTTAATGAGTAATGAAATGAAGTGACCTTCTCTGTGTTCATTCAGTACCTGGCTTCAGCAGAGTGTTGGAAATTAAAGCATATCATTGGGTACCAAGCATCACAAATTCACACCTGTTATGATCATTTAATAATAATATCTCTCCTTTGTCCACCAACTTATAGGTTCCAAGGCATGTTCATATCATCGTTTCATTTGATGATTTCAACAACTCTATGAGGTAGTGTAGGTATTATCACCCTTGTATGACAAATTATGAATAGAGAGGTTAAACATTTTCCCAGGCTAACACAACAAGGAATAGTAGAATAGGGACTAGAAATAAGAACACTTGGCTCCCAGTTCTCCCCAGAACCCTTTAAAGCTCTTCTATTATTCCAGACTAATAACTAGGAAAATTTAGCTTAAACCTAGGCCATACAGAAATTATTTTAATTAATCTATTCATTCACTTTTTCATTCATCTATCTGTCGTCTATCTATCTATCTATCTATCTATCTACTCATCTACTTGCCCAATCTACTTATTTAATTAATTAGCTAAATGGCCAGCTTCAGGCAAGACTCTGGTATGTATTGAATACTTATTGTGTTATTGAGGAATCAATACTGGACTTGGAGTCTCAAGACCTGGGTTTGATACTTTCTCCCTGTATGACACTGGGAAGGTCACTTCAACTGTGAGCCTTCATGTTCCATTATTTAAAACTGATTGAATAATCTTTTTAGTATTTATTATCATAGGATTATAGCTCTAGAGTTGAAAGGGACCTCAGAGACCATTTAGTCTAATACCCTTATCTGACAAATGAGGAAACTGAGACCTAGGAAGATCAAGTCATGACTTGCTTATTATGGTCCCTTAGGCAGCAAGCATGAGGCAGACTTAGAACTTGCGTCCTTTGACTCTAGAGCTAGTATCCTTTCAACTCCATGCTGTCTTATGGACATACTTGTGCTAAGTGCTTAGTAAACTTTACAGTTTGTTATTATTTTTTGTAGGATGTTGGTTTATAATACATTTTTCTTCTTAATGTTTTCCATTTTAGCTTTACACGCCCAGGGAAAGGATCGTGGCTGGGTAAAGGCAGCCCAGAGTCAGGTTCGGAACAGTCCAGTATGTCCTTAGAAAGCCTTGTCTTTGGAGCTGGTTACTGCAAACCTTCTTTCTCAGAGGTAAAGTCCAAGGTCCATGTGAAACTTGACTATGTCAAGTTGTGCTTGACCATGAGCCATTTCTTCCTTCCCCAACATCCCTTATTCTCAGATTTTTGTTCCAAGGACTGCCCCTATAGAATCATATTTCTTCTGGAATGAATCCCGTAAAAGGAGGTTTTGTCAGACTATGGCTACTATTATCTTAGAATGTCATCTAGTCCAACAGTATTCCTCCTCACCAAGTCTCCCTCCTTTTCACAGATGAAAGCAATGGATCCAGAGAAGGAGAAGTAACTTGCTCAGAATCATTCAAATGTCATCAGTATATATAAGTCACATCTAGTTTTTTTCCAGATCTCAAACCAGTATTCTTCCCACTATACCACACCGCCTTCTATATATCCTCTAAGAGGCAATTTCAAGCCTATGTCACGTTATTCATTAAGTCAATATGCATTAAGAACCTACCATATGCAATGTGTTATAGGAGGCAGAAAGTTGGATAAGCTTACACTCATTGAGCTTGCAGGTATTTATGAGACATAACAAGGTTGGAGAGGCATTGTGAAATAACACCTACAAAAGTGTCCTTGATGCCAGGAAGTGATCAAGTCCCTCCTTTGACACATACTGCAGTGTGACCCTGGACAAGTCACTTAATTTCTCTCTCTAATACTATAAGTTACAGAACAACCACAAACCTGTGTTTATAGAGGGAATTTCTTCATATGGAAGTTTCCTATGTTATTGAAATTATAGATCCCATCATTATCCCTTTGTTAACATCAGTATGTCAATAGCTGAGATATAAAGTGGAATATTATTAGTGCCTAAGAAATATATTAGTTCCTGGGGCAGCTAGGTGGCACACTGGATAGAACACTAGCCCTGAAGTTAGGAGGACCTGAGTTCAAATCTGGCCTCGGACCAAATACTTGATACATAATAGCTGTGTGACCCTGGGCAAGTAACTTAACCCTAAGTGCCAAGAAAGAAAGAAAGAAAGAAAGAAAGAAAGAAAGAAAGAAAGAAAGAAAGAAAGAAAGAAAGAAAGAAAGAAAGAAAGAAAGAAAGAAAGAAAGAAAGAAAGAAAGAAAGAAAGAAAGAAAGAAAGAAAGAAAGAAAAAGAAAGATAGATAGATAGATAGATAGATAGATAGATAGATAGATAGATAGATAGATAGATATTAGTTCCTAAGAAAGTAATTACCACATTGGGAAATCAGGGTAGGTTTCTTAAAGGATGGTAGGGACCATGATATAGTAGAAGTACTTGTAGAACAGGAATCATACAACTAGGGTTCAAATCTTAGCTTTCTTACTTTTGTACCAATGTGACTTTGGGCAAAGCACTTTCTGGACCTCAAATTCCCTATCAGCAAAATGAAGAATTTAGACTATATAAACTCTAAAGCCCTCTCTAGATATGAATTCTGTGTTCCTATAATTTCCCCAGGCATAGATGGGTGGGGAAGATACCCCACCTATAGTAAATGGTGTAAGCAAAGACTTAGAGTTAGAAAGTTTCTCAATGGGGCATGGGTAATGGTGACTGTTACAGATTAACCAGAGAGTTGAAAGTCTCAAGCTAACATTCAGAAATAAAGCTGGGGGCACCTGGGTGGCAAAGTAGACAGAGTATTGGCCCTGTAATCAGGAGGACCTGAGTTCATATCTAGTCTTGTAACTTACTAGGTATGTGACCCTGGATAAGTCACTTAACCCTGATTGCTTCCAAAAAGAAAAGAAGGGAGGGAGGAAGAAAGGAAGAAGAGAGGGAAGGGAGAGAGAGAGAGAGAGAGAGAGAGAGAGAGAGAGAGAGAGAGAGAGAGAGAGAAAGCAAGCAAGCTAGCTGAAAATTAGGGTGGAAGCTGATTGTAGAATGCCTTTAGTTATAAGGAATCATTGACAGTTTTTGAGCAAGGATATGACCTGATAAATTCTGTTCATTGGGAAGATTAATCTGGCTTGTTATGGATGATAGATTGAAAAGAGAGAGATTAGATGGATGGAGACCTGTAATGTGGATATTACAAACTAGTAAACAAATATTAGGGTCATAAAATCACAGACCTAGAGTTAGAAGGGACCTCATATCCCATGTAGTAGAATCTCCTTCCCTTCATCACCATCTTATAGATTCAGAAACAGGGTCTTGAGACATTAAATGTTGTACTCAGAATCACATAGGTACTGCCAGAGGTGGGATTCATACTTAATGACCTCTGAATTCAGAGCCAATGTTCTTCCCACTGTACTATGTTCCCTCCTTGTCTAGGGTAAAAAGGTATGAGGTCCTGAAATAAGATTGTGCAATAGCATTAGAAAGGAAAGGGAAAACTAAGGGGATGAGAGAGATTGAAGAAGTAGACCCACCATTAATATAGAGTTCTGCTTTTCAAGCCTTATCTTCGTCCATCCTCTGAGCCTTATAAAGAATGCATTAGTAGCTAGCTTATATTTTTAAGTAGTAATGTGAAAGGCTTTTATGGTCCAAGGAGTGTCACACTCCTCCCTCTCCCCCAAAGGTGGAAATGTTCTGCCTTACCTCGTGAACACAATGAAGTCCTGCTCAATCTGCAGGGAACATCTTGTAATGTGCTGCTTAACCATTGAATCATCCCTCCCTGGCTTCATTTCCCAGCATGCAGGGACTTCATTTCCAAAGCTGTAGGGGGTCTGAGCATCTCTTAGTACAAACTCTTAGCTCCACCATTAGCATTAATGGGAAAAACACAGGGAACATGCAACCACTGCACACTTGAAGGACCTCATTGAGAAGGGATCATCTTGGGCCTAGTTCGGAAAGAGAAATTTCCATTAGAAACTGGGCAGTAGGGCACAGTAGAAAAAGGAGAGGTCTAGAGTTGGGAAAAAAAAGATTTTCTAGTCCTGTTGCTGACCCCTACTTGCTCTATGACCTTGGGCAAGAATCTTTTTTAACCTTCATTTCCTCATCTGTAAAATAAAGATAATCATTGTGTGACCCAATCCATATGGTTGCTTAAAAAGATAGCAGTTTGCATGTCAGGATAGCAGTTTGTACGTCCAAAAAGTACTACCTAAATGTGTCTTAGTAATAGTATAACAGAATTCTTCCTTTGGTTCCATATTGTGGCATGGAGATGTGCTGGTATTTCAAATGTCAGTGGAACCAAGTTCTAGCAGGTTGTACTAATCTAGGAAGGTGTCAGTATGGTCTCAATGACAGACTCTGTGCCTATTAATCAGATGTTTTAGAATCATAGATTTAGAGCAAGAAGGGATCTCAGAGGCCGTTGAGTCCAAGCACTTCATCTTGCAGCTGTGGTTAAGAGTGTTGAAGTGACTTGCCCAGGGCCAGACAGCTAGTAGGCATTATGGCAGGATTTGAATCCATGTCTTCCTGAGTCCAAGTCCAGGATTCTAACAACACCATGCTGTCTCTCTAGAACCAGCCTAGCTAGGTTTAGAGAAGCTCATCACTAGGCTGGACAGAGGGTGATGGGTTGTCTGAATGTAGAAACTCTTAAGGACTGTCTATTAATTTATGAAAGGACCCAAGATCATGAGATCAAAGATCTGATGTTAGTGGAAGGGCCCTCAGAGGCAATCATTGAGTCCAACCATTTTTTTTACAGAAGAGGAAACTGAGACCCAGGGAAGTTGTATGGTTTGATGAATGTCACATAGGTAATAAGTGGCAAAAATTAGATTTTAATCCACATTGTTTGACTCTAGAATCAGGGCTCTTTCTATGAAACTACATTGTCTTTCACAGGGAAGGATTGGTGGAGGAGTGTCCAAATTGAAGAAATCAGGGATCCCTGACAGATTTAAGTATGTGTTATAGTTATTAATAACTAAAATAAACAAACTACTGAGTGCAATAGAAATACAAACAGTTGTTATTAGGTGATTTACTAAGGACTTATTCCAGTGATTCACTGTAGTATGGAGGTGACCACAGCTTCAGTATCAATGAAATACAAGCTTTTGCAGGTATTACCAAGCCTAGAAAACTTAGGGCAGAGATTCTTAACCTTTTCCATGTCATGGACTCTTCAGTAGTCTGGTTAAGCTTTGAGGCCCTTCTTTGTTTTGTTTTGTTTTAATTCACAATTGAATTAAATGTCAAATTTCAGTTAGAGGTTGGTGAAAATAAAGATGCATTTTTCCCATCCAAGGTTATAGGCTCCCTGAAATTTATCTGCAACCTAGGGTGTCTGTGGACTACAGATTAAGAATCCCTGGCTTAGAATACAGCTACAGGGTCATGTTGCGTGTTGTAAATAAATGACTAGCCTAGCTGATTGTTGAAAAGTCCCTCACCAGAGGATCAGCTACTAGATGAGAAATTTGCATGACCTTAAGAATGCCTAAAGGCTCTCTCTCCTGAGCTATGGACTGAGTAACTTTATACATACAAAATTATACATTTTAAAATATTCAAATTAATATAATTGGGACAAATGTCTAAGTGATATCTAATTGTGCTAATAAGACCAAGATCTTATATTTTTATTGTATGTAAGTCATTAAATCATTCTCTTTTCAATGGGCATTGACTACAAATCCTACCGTATTTTCTCAGAAATTGTTGCCACTCATCTCAAGAGAAACCAGTTAAGAACCACAGTGTAGTGAGAGAAGACAACATGAAGAAGTGAGAGTGGGAAAAAGCATAGGGGTTGTTAAATACACTGTTAACTAAAGAGTCTTCCAGAGACTCACCCAAGGTAGCTTTCTGGAGATTCAGGGAACAAGATAAGGTTGTGCACTGATTTCGTTGATACTTCTGCCCAGGTCTACATTTCAAGAAGTTAAATTTTGGAGCTCAAAGAAAGGGATGGACACTGGTGTTTTCTTGAGATACTGGTTACGATTTTCCATGGATTCAACATGGAACTAGGTGGCACAGTGGATAGAGTACTGGGCCTGGAGTCAGGAAGACCTAACTTCCTGAGATCAACTCCGGCCTCAGTTACTTACTAGCTGTATGACCCTAGACAAGTCACTTAACCCTGTTTGCCTCAGTTTCTTCATCTGTAAAATGAGCTGGAGAAGGAAATGACAAACCACTCCATTACTTTGTCCAGAAAACCCTAAATGAGGTCATGAAGAAAGCTGAACATGACTGAAGAAAACTGAACAACAACAACCAGGGTCATATGGAATATGACAGACAGACAAAAAGAAAAGTTCCGGAAGTTATTGTAAAGTATAATATGTGTCATGGAACCTGTGGAAGAGATAGCAACATATCTAAGCTTTCAATGAAGTCCAAAGATTTTCTTGAGATAGACATAATACAGGGGAAGACAAACAGATATATAGTGGAAATCCACCCAGGTAATCAGACAGCTTAGAGCTACACTGCTTTGCCATATAGAGGTCGTAGCTTTTTCTCTTGCTCTACTTCCTTCAAATACAGTCAGTTTTTGCACGGTATAAGGGCCAATTTAGGAGTTCTAGTCCAGAGGTCTGGACTCTCTCCGCTTTTTATCTGCTGCCTCTAGTCAGCCTAATGGAGGCCTAATAAGGACTCTCTACTTCCAACTGGATGCACCCTAGACATCTTAAACTCAGCATGTCCAAATCTGAACTCGTTATCATTCCCCTAAAACCTTCTACTCTTTCTAACTTTTCTGTTACAGTTGAGGGTACCATTATCCTCCCAGTCACCCAGCCTCAAATTTAGGTCTCATCCTCAACTCTTCCTCTCTCTCAGCCTCCTATCTAAGCTGTTGTTGAGGCAGGTTGATTTTGCCTTTGCAACATCTCTTATATATACCTCCTTCTTTACTCCGACACTGCCAGCACTCAGATGCAGGCCCTCATTACCTTGTGCCTGGAATGTTGCAATAGCCTACTGGTTGGTCTCTATGCCACCAATCTCTTCTCATTCTAATCCATCCTTCCCTCGACTGTCAAATTGATCTTACTAGAACACAAATCTGATCATGTCACACACACACACATACGCACACACACACAATTCCGTAAACTTCAGTGCCACCCTATTACTCCAGAATCAAATATAAAATTTAAAAAAAAAGCTTTCAGAGCTCTTCATAAACTTACCCTTTTCTACCTTTCCAGTCTTCTTACACCTTACTTCTCTTGTGCCATGTCCTTTGCAATCCAGTGACACAGGCCTCCTTGCTATTCCTTGAATAATATTCTCCATCTCCTTATCCAGAGCATTTTCATTGGCTGTCTCCCATGCCTCAAACACTCCCCCTCCTCATCTCCATCTCCTAGCTTCCCTGGCATCTTTTCAGTGTAAACTAAAGTACTACCTTCTTCAAGATGTTTTTCCTAGTCATCCTTAATCCTAATGTCTTCTCTCAGAGATCATCCCCAATTTATATGTGTGCGTATATACATATATATATATATATGTGTATACACACCCACACAACATATATAGTTACAGTTACTGTGTATTTGTATACAGTATGTCTATATATGTATACATAGTTTTTTTGCATATTTTCTCCCATGCTAGACTATAAGTGTTTTGAGGGCAATTGATTATCCCCTCCCCCTTTTTTTGCATCCTCACTGCTTAGCACAGTGCCTGACATATACTGAACATTTAATAAATGCTAGTTGACTGACCTATTGAAAATAGCTGCTAACTTCATGATGCATAGATCAGCTGCTTGACTTCCTGAGGGGGTAATAATAGAGTCTGACTGTTGACATAGATCTAAGGGAAGGTACACCTGGTAGGATTGTGATTTTGGCTGAATGGGGCAGACCCAGCAGGCACATCCCTCTTATGCGCCTCTCCATGCTCTGCTGGATGTCTGTCTTTGGTGAATAGTGATCAGAGGAGTTGTAATTTCTGTGTCCCACGTGTCTGAGTTGGTATTGCCATGGCCCAGGAGCTAGTGCAACTGCAGGAAAGGAGAGAGACAGATGAAAAAGTATGGTTAAGTTCAAGGCATTCTGTATCTCTGAAATATGTTCTCTAAGCCTCTTCCCCTCCTTTAGGGTATATCAGTGATTTAAAAAGAACTGAAACTAGGGTGGACCAACAAGGGCGGGAAGATGGAATCCAGTGAGAGAATGAATGAATGGATGATTGGATGAGTGATAAAGTGTTTGTTAAATGCTTATTATATATTAGGTTCCAGACTAAGTGCTTTTGATACAATACAAAGAAGACAGTAACTGCCCTCAAGAATTTTATACTGTAATGGGGGAAAAAATACATAAAGGGAAACTAGGACTTTGGAGGGGTGAAAGGGTGGGGTGTCATGGTATGTGTGTGGCAACATTGGTGGAAATGGCAGGAAGTGAAGGCAGGGTCTAAGAATTTGAATCTGGTTGAAGAAGAATGAAGAAGATGGAGAGGACTTTATCCCTTGAGTAATCTTTTAGCCCACTGGACTCACAAATGTTAGGTCTATGCCATCTCCACAGCATAAGGTCTACCTCTGAGGTTCCCAACCTTTTTTCAGGGCCTACCATCCCCCAGCACCAGGTCTCCCCTACCTTGTCCTCCTGCTAAGCCTGAGAGATATGTGTTCTGGGGTGCCCTCTCTCCTGGTAAAATTACACTCCACGAAGCACGTTGGACTCTTAGTGTCATCCCTCCCTCAACCCCATTCAACTGACTTACCCCAGGTATTAAAATTCTTATTAATGTCTCTAGGTCTCAAGGCCTGAGTGACCTATAAGACCCCTCTTAACTTTAACAGGCTATTATTCAAAGCACGGGTGGGCAACCAGCAGCCTGGAGGCCACATGTGGCCTACTAGCTCCTTTGGTGCTGCCTTTTGACTGAGTCTAAATTCTACAGAACAAATCCTTTTATTAAGGGGATTTGTTCTGTGAAGTTTGGATTCAATCAAAGGGCTGCACTTAAGAACCAAGAGGACCCCCCTGCAGTCTCGAGGCTCCAGGTTCCCCACCCCTGATTCAAAGTCTTTGGACTTGCCAAAGGCCATCTTTAAAATGAGTGTCGTAATATCATAATACCTATACACAGTCTCATTATAAGAATCAAACAGAAAAAAAAAGAAAGGTGAAATAGGTCGAGCAAATATCATTATTCTCATTTTTCAGATGAAGAAATTGAGGCTTAGAGAGTTTAGTGACTTAATTACTGCCACGAAGCCTGAAAGCAGCAAAGCAGAAACTGGAAGCCAGGTGAGGAAGCCCTGCAGAAAAATGGAACACCTGATCTTCTGCTTTGAACTCTAATGATCTTCCCATTACCTCCATTGTATGTTTTCTTTTTTAACTTGAGCAATTTTTAAAGCCCTATGTAAATGCAGACTGCTATGATTAACATTATTTAACTGGCTGAAGTCACATGTCTTTATCTTTGACAGATTACTCACATTTCTCAGCCTCAGTTTCTTCCCTTCTATAGAAATAAATGAAGCTTTTAAAAGGTTTTGGTTTAGAAATCACATTTGGAGATATTACATATTCAAAAACTCATTGAGGTAATGGAAGGGACTTTAGTCCTTATTTAATCAACCCTTGCCTCCATCTCATTTCCATAGATGAAGTAACTGAGGTGGGACAATAGGCAATGACTGAATTGAGGAGAAACAAAGCAATAATGATGCCGCATCCACAAGGTTTATTTGGAACTATCTCAGTTTAGTGATGCTTACTTCTCCCATGGAAAGCTAGTGGCCCCAGCATCATCTTCATTATGGGAGTCAGAGAATGGACTGTTTGTGGGTATTTAAGCTTAGCATGCCTGGTTATTTCTAGGATTTGATTCTATTTCTGTGTTATTTCCATTTAGGGAACAACCAGTGATCCGCTCTTAGAGATGCTATGCCTGTGCCTTACACACCATCCAAAGGCTGAAGGCAAGCCAAGCTTAGAACAAAATCCAGGAGCCCTGGAGCTTCAAGCCCAAATCCCTGAGAAGCCTAATGCATTAGCAAATAAAATCAGAATATGCCCAGATTGTGGTGTCAGCTGGGAAGATTAGGGAACAGGTGTTCCTTTCAAAAAAAAAAAGTCCTTTCCTCACAAAACATTTGCTGAAACTGGAATTTCATGCTCAAATGAGCTGATTTACATGAAAAACTGTGGGGTGGGGTGGGGTGGAATGAAATGACAAGAATTTCCCATATCTCATTTAACCAGACCCTCATCAGGCTGTAGGCTTCCTTTAAACCAGGGGTGGGGAACCTGTGGTAAGGCTGAAGGTTCCCCATACCTGTGGCCTCAACTAGCTTTCCCTTACCTCCAGGCTGGCATTTCCTGTCTCTGGATTATAGTTTTTGTGTCTGTTAGATCAGAGGACATTTAAGTTCCTTCGTATACTAAAATGGTTGGTTCATAATATGAGTGGTTCAAATAACTGCTGGAAATGGGTTTCATTGAACCACCATACCTTGTTCTTACCTGTTCCATCTTATGAAAAATTGTGTGTGTGTGTGTGTGTGTGTGTGTGTGTGTGTGTGTGTGTGTGTATTGATCAGTGAGGGATAGGAATGCAGTCTTTACCAGGTTTTCTAGTCTGTGCTATGAATTTAATTAAATAGAATATGTGTTCGTGGTCTAGAGATCATATGGCCTCCAGATCCCTTTTGGTCTCAGAGTCTCAATTTCCTCACCTGTAATTTGAGGGAATATCCCTTCCATATATAACATTCTCATTTTGCAATCTGCAAAGCACTATATTAGCATGTATTACTAGTATTATTACTCATTTTCTAACATTTTATATCCAATTCTTTATTTAATGACTTCGTGAATAGGAATCCACCCACTCTTAATTGTCAGCTGAAAGAATCAATCTTAACTTTGTAGTCGGTAGGCTCCTCTCTCCTTCTGTCTCTGCTCTCCTACCCCTACCAGACATAACTAGGGGCAAAAATGAAAGGTATGTGGAAAGAGAAGAGAGGTCAAATCAATAAGTGTTTATGAAGAGCATACTGTGTGTCAGGCACTGTGTTAAATACAGGTGATAAAAAGAAAGCAAAAAAGAGTTTTCATTCTGAAGGAGCTGACATTCTAGTGGAGAAGACAACATGCAAACAATTATGCACATACAACATATATGCAGGATAAATTGCAGGTAATCTCAGAGGGAAGGCAGTAGCATTGGGCCTGGAAAAGGCCTCATAGAAGGTGGAATTTGAGCAGACACTTGAAAGAAGCCAGGGAATTCTAGAAGCCAAGGTGAGAATGAAGAGCATACTAGGCTTGAGTTTTATACATAGGCTTGAGGGACAGACGGTGACGATGCCTATAGCTAGGAGATGGATTGTCCTGTTCGAAGATCTTTCTGGAAGCAGGTAGTATTGGAGAAACCCTGGGTAGAAATAGAAGCTTCGTTATGAAGGCAATAGCCCTATGTGCAAATAAGAGAATGTGCCCCTGGATAATGGGGATTGCCAAAGGAGGTCAAAGACAGCCCCTGTCCTCAAGGAGCTTATAATCTAATGAGGGAAGCAACATGCAAACAAATATATAAAGTAAGCTATATACAGGATTATCACTTAGAAAAGACTATGAAGGAACTGGCAATAACTATTGTGAAAATGATTTATCCTTTTTTAAATGTATTTAGTATTTTATTTTCCCCATTTACATGTAAAAACAATTTTTAACATTCATTTTAAAAACTCTGAGTTCTAAATTCTCTCCCTTCCTCCCTCTGGAGCATTCCTCATTTAGAAGGCAAACAATTCAATATAGGTTATACATACGTAATCATGCAAAACATTTCCATATTACTCATGTTGTGAAAGAAAGCATAGACCAACCCCCTTCCCCCCACAAAAAGCAACCTCAAGAAAAATATTATTTATTATTACATTATTAACAGAGGGAGAAGGGAAGACTTTTCTGTAGGAGGTAAGATTTTAGTTGATACTTAAAAGAACTAATTTTAAAGGAAGAGAATTGAGGCCACGAGAGGAAAAAGGACTTTTAAATGACTACATAGGTAGTCGATGGCAGCTGGTATTAGAACCCAGGTCTCCTGATGTCTTAGTCTAATGTTCTTTCTATTATACCACAAAACCATCTTTGTTTTTGAAGAAGAAAAAGCCAGCTAGGTGACAGAGTGGAGAGCTAGACCTGGAATCAGTAGAAGATACTTCCTAGCTATTTCCCCTGGGCAAGTCACTTCACCACTATCTGCCTCAATTTTCTCATTTGCAAAATGAAGGTAATAATGTCACCTACCTCCCTAGGTTGTCATAAGGGGTGGGGGGTGGGGAAGCAAAACAAAGTTTATAAAGCGTTCCAAATCCTAAAGCACTATATAATGATAATGATGATAATAATAGCAGCTAACACTGATAAAGTGCCTACTAGGTACCAGTCAGCCACTGTGCTAGTACTCTACAAGAATAATCTCATTTGAAATGCTAGCTATTATTATTGCTTGTATTTTTATTAGCTATCTAGTAAAACAAAAATTCTAGGCATGTGTCCCAGTGCCAACAGGTGAATAGTGTCTTCTGAATGTGTAGAGAGCCCATTACCCCTAGACCGGGCAAGTGGTAGGCTGGCTTCAGCAGAGAGTATACCTCATTCACGAGCAGTGACTTCACTCAGATAATTACATACATTATAATAACCCACATCCATAAAGGGCTCACATTCAAACATCACTGTATTTTACATGAGCTAATATGTGATAATATATACAAAGTTGCTATGTAACTTCAAAGCTATATATCAAAGTTGATATTATTGTGGTAATAAGAGGACTTATCACCCAAATGATTAATACACCAATTTTTTTCCACCAATGCTTCATCCTAGCTTGGAGGTGACCAGGGATTTTTTTCAAAGCCAGAAATTTTAACTAACGATTTGTGTTGTCTGGGACAAACTTCACAAAATATAGATAAAGCCAACAAAGATAGCTTGATAACCAATTTTACTCTAACCAACTTTAAAAGACTAATTCAGTTGAAGTGTAAAGAGAGACCCCGGGAAAAAAGCACTGTGAGACCCAGGATTCCACCCCAGATGTATGAACAAAGATCTTGGGACCTCAACTGCCATGGGAAGAGAGGCAAGTGCAGAGCCACCAATGTGGAGACAACCCCTGGAAAGAAGGAACACAGACCAACTTGAGATATGAGCTGTGGCAATGCGAAGTCAAAAATCGTCCTTGAATTCATGGATTTTGTAGCCCTTGGGTCAAAGAAGACCCAAGTGGTTTGTGTGTGTATCTGTATGTATGTGCATATATATATGTATGTATGTGTGTTTCTCTCTGTCTGTGAGTATGTATGTGTTTGTCTCCCTGCGATTATGTATGTGTATATGTTGGGGGGATGGGGGTGAGAATTGGGAGAGAATTGGGGAGTCAGAGAATTTCTTATAATGGACCAATTTTTCAACCATCAAATCAGTTCTCATAGTCTGACAAAGGATATTCCTTTCACACAATTTCACTGGAAGTGCTCATCTTTTTTTCCTACCATTTCCTTTCTTTTTTTCTTTCAAATTAGTAATATCCAAGGAAAACATATGTAGAGACACATGCTTCCTAAATAAAATATGAATGCTTCTGGAAAGAAACTTTAAATAGTGAGGGGTTAACATATTAAGGAATTCCGGGATGATAACTTGATTGGATAGCCTTTTGTTAAATTGGTGAAAATCTGTGAATGTAGAGAACTATAAAATTAAGTCAAAAACTTTTCACAGTTTTTCTCTTCAGCCTTTTCTTCCATCATCATCATCATCATCATCATCATCATCATATCATCATCATCATCATGAAAGCACACTGGATTTGAAGTGAGGAGACCCCGTATTGAGCCTTGACCCTTCTACCTAATTAGCCATGTGACTGTGAATAAGACCCTTGGTATGTTTAAGTGTCCCACAGGGGTGTTTTGGGGCCAGTCTGTACTGGTTTATGGCAGGCAATTGTTAAATTTTCAGTTGTGTGCATTTATACCTATGGAATTGACAAATGCTATAAATCAGGAGTTGATTTATTATTTTGTTGATTGCTTAGACTTTAAAAAGTGATGGAACAATATTAACAATAGAGATCAAACTTGAAGTCTATATGCACTTTCAGAGAGGCCAGTTGTTAGACATTTGCCACCATACCTTGGTGCCAGGTTCTTCATTGGTAAAATAGGTATGATAATAATTGCACTCCTTATCCAGCAAGGTTATTGCGAGGAAAGTGCTTTGTG